TCCTCCGGGTTTTAGATCTGAGTACTTAAAGTTAACACGATCCACTATCTCCGCCCCTTTTTCCACTGGCAATAGAGCCTCTTGCAGTCTCTTTGCGTGCTTCAACTGAATATAGTGGGATTGATAGAGGAGGCAAGGAGCACAAGGTCTCACTCTTCACAGATGATTTATTAATACACATCTCTGAACCCTCTAAGTCGGTCCCCACAATAATTTCAATTTTGAATAAATTTGGACAACTATCAGGATATAAAATAAATATCAGCAAAAGTATATTATTTCCAATAAAGACTATAAATAACCACCAACTCCTTGATAATGTGCCCTTTAAGAGCTCAACCCAGTTTAAGTATTTAGGTATTAATATTACCCAAACCTTCACAGATCTCTACAAAGAGAATTTTCAGAAATTACTAGACAAAACAACAGAAGACCTGCAGAGTTGGTCCCATATCCCCATAACACTAGCAGGCCGAATCAACATAATCAAAATGACCACCCTCCCCAAATTTCTTTTTTTATATCAGTGTATTCCCATTTATATCAAAAAAGGTTTTTTTCATAGCATAGATAAAATAATCTCAGAATTCATTTGGAATAAGAAAAAACCTAGATTAAGGACAATCTTCTTACAGAGGCCAAAATCAGNTATAGTGGGATTGATAGAGGAGGCAAGGAGCACAAGGTCTCACTCTTCACAGATGATTTATTAATACACATCTCTGAACCCTCTAAGTCGGTCCCCACAATAATTTCAATTTTGAATAAATTTGGACAACTATCAGGATATAAAATAAATATCAGCAAAAGTATATTATTTCCAATAAAGACTATAAATAACCACCAACTCCTTGATAATGTGCCCTTTAAGAGCTCAACCCAGTTTAAGTATTTAGGTATTAATATTACCCAAACCTTCACAGATCTCTACAAAGAGAATTTTCAGAAATTACTAGACAAAACAACAGAAGACCTGCAGAGTTGGTCCCATATCCCCATAACACTAGCAGGCCGAATCAACATAATCAAAATGACCACCCTCCCCAAATTTCTTTTTTTATATCAGTGTATTCCCATTTATATCAAAAAAGGTTTTTTTCATAGCATAGATAAAATAATCTCAGAATTCATTTGGAATAAGAAAAAACCTAGATTAAGGACAATCTTCTTACAGAGGCCAAAATCAGTAGGAGGTATGGGGTTGCCAAATTTTAAACTTTATTATTGGGCGAGTAACATAAAAATGATGACCTACTGGCCACAAAAAAAGCCTCCGTTATGGCTAGATACAGAAAATGCCAGCTGTCACCCCTCTTCCCTTCCTGCCATGTTGCTCTCAGCTTTGCCCACTGTAGACCCTCAATCAATAACTAATCCAATCGTCTCCCAGTCACTCAAGATTTGGTCCCAGATTTGAAAATTTTGTGGTTGGCAGTCTTGTTTACTTCAAAGCCCTCTTATTGAAAACCACACCTTCGCACCTTCATTTACCAATACAATGTTTAAGGATTGGTTCGATAAAGGAATTCATAGCTTCTTGGACATACAGTACAGGCCAAAAGTTTGGACACACCTTCTCATTCAATGCGTTTTCTTTATTTTCATGACTATTTACATTGTAGATTCTCACTGAAGGCATCAAAACTATGAATGAACACATGTGGAGTTATGTACTTAACAAAAAAAGGTGAAATAACTGAAAACATGTTTTATATTCTAGTTTCTTCAAAATAGCCACCCTTTGCTCTGATTACTGCTTTGCACACTCTTGGCATTCTCTCCATGAGCTTCAAGAGGTAGTCACCTGAAATGGTTTTCCAACAGTCTTGAAGGACAGCTACTACAGTACTACAGTACAGCTACTATGGATCATCTGAGATCGGCCTGGCAGGACGACCTAGGCAGGGAGATTACAGAAGAACAATGGCAGACAGCCCTAGCACAAAGTCACAGCTCTTCAATATGTGCAAGACATGGCCTCCTGCAATTTAAAATAATACACCGCTTACATTGGTCAAAACAAAAGCTTCATAAAATATTTCCCTCAGTAGATCCTTCATGTGACAGATGTGGACTTGGACCAGCAACACTGGGTCACATGTTCTGGAGTTGCCTGAAGCTATCACATTACTGGGAAGATATCTTTCAGACTATCAAAGACCTATTAACGTAGATCCATTGGTGGCAGTTCTAGGAATGTTTGATTCAAATATTACAAAAAGCAACATGGAACATAGTATGGTTTCGTTTGTCAGTCTACTTGCATGAAGACTGATTCTACTTAGCTGGAAACAAAAAACAGCCCAACTTATTCAAATCTCATGACAGATGTTATGAGACATTGAGAGCTGGAGAAAATAAAGTTCTATAGAATCTGGCAGCCATTTATTGATTATTTTAACCGCAACACTGCCTGATGGCAATTTGTGGAAGTGCTCTTAACCATCAGTAAAAGGAAAGAATTTTTTTTTTTCCCTAAATGTATTTATTTATTTTTATTTATTAATTATTATTTTTTTATTATTATTTTCTTGCTTGCAATGTTTGGGTTTTTGTACTCTATGTGTATGTGTTTATATTTATATACATATATAAATATTATTTTGCACTGATCTCCTTTATCATATTCCTCTGTGACCTGTTTATTTTTATTATATTTTATTTTGAGATACATAATTTAATTTATCCATAATTAGCTTTATGTGTAAGCGTGTACGTGTAAATGTGTGTGATGTTTGTATTACTGTCTGTTGTCAATAAAGAGAGTTGGAAAAAAAAAAGCTCATTGACAGCAGTAGTAAGTAGCTGCTGCATCACTGCACCATACTACAGTATTGTAAGGAATACAAATATGTAGTGGTCATTTGTGTGTGGCAGTGCACCCATGTGAATGGCATAATTACTTCCAATTCTCATGTGAAATATTCTTAACTTCACAGTATTACAGATATAGGGCCTACTACAGTTCAATAATAGTGTTAGCAGTTATCCATGTTTGTATAGTTTATCCAGTTGACAGATAGAAATACATGTAATGTGTAACTGTTTGGTTTAAGACGCCTAACATCATTGTTTCACCACTATTATGTTAACAAGAAATGTTATTTTAGGGTGTTTTTGTAAGGAAACAAATCACCTTTGTAACCATGGGTCTTTTTGACCCACACGCATAAACTTGATGTAATGATTTAAAATCATTGTTTGTTCAGAAAATAAGAAAATAACAAAAATGATATTTGATAAATAAAAGCAACACTGAATGCTAAAATAAAGACCTCTCAGCAAATATAGCAAAGAAACACACATCTGTGTATGAAATCCCATAGGAAATGAATGCGGGTCATTTTTGACCCGTGATGCGTGTTAGAGGGGGTAAGCTTAGGTTGGGAGTTAAAGGGTTAAAAAGTGTCCAGATGAACAATGGCTCACTGACCACCAATGCTATATTTGTGCCCTCGTCTAAACTTGAGTTAAACTAACAAGGAATAGAGGACAGACGAACACAGATTATCAAGACAGATACTGTAAAGAACAATGGCCCCAAATCTCAATCACATGAGGAGGCTAAGGGTTGTTGTATTGGCAAAGAGAAGCTTTATAATGTATTAAAGCAGGGGTGCAATTTTTGTATTGGAAAATTATTTTTTAATTTATGATGCATTGTTCTCTCTCAAATGAGCTTCCCTGAAAGGATATTTTTCCCCTCAATGCTTTCATAGTTTCATAGAAAGCAAATTGTTAGTCAGCTTTACCAGGGTTACCAATAACTGTGGAGGTTTCTGTACAATACCTCCATGGTGCCGACTCACCAGTCCTTATACCCCTCAGCTCCTGGAGAGGGCGACAAAGACACACACACACAATAACTTTCTACAGTCAAACAATCAACACGTGACATGTAACTTATGTGCATATGCTGCCCACTGGTGCCAGAGATGTGGAAGTCCAAGAAGTTGGCAGTGTGCATGGCCCTGCGTCATTTAAGCAGACAGGATAGAGACTGATGACTGTTGACAACGGTTAGAGGAATAATATTCCACATGCATTATTAAGGTGTTGTTGTGAGGTCTGATGGCTGGAATGATGGCACACAATGTTATCGTCACACCAAGAAAAAGCCCCTAATTTGAATCAACAAACTGTAGTTTTATAAAATACGTGAATTTGAAATAACGTGTCATCTTTGGCCACATCGAATAGTGACATAATAATGTCATTTATTTATTGTATTGTCTGCTATATCTCAAATTTATGTGTTTGTGATCACAAGCTTTTCAAATGTCATCATGATCACAGTGTATTTGTGATCAAGAATCACGATTTAAAACTTGAAACTTCCTGTTTCAAACTTTCCTGAACACAAATGGATATGTTGCAGGGCTCAATTTTGGGGGCTTTGAGTGACGGGCAAAAGAACCCAAGAGCACTTTTAAGACCAGAACTGTAGGTCAGTCTGTTTGTGCTTATATTGTGTTGCCCTGGACAAAAAGGACAGCGCTTGTGTTTGGCTGCTGGAGGCAGTGTGCCTGGGGGGCTGCCTGACCAGTAGATAGCTGTGTGGAGGGCCCAACAGCAGGCACGCATGTCTAAGTTATAGACTCGTGATCCAGCAGGCCTGTTGTTGCTCTGCATTGCCTCTGTGTGCCACCAGCTGACAAAATACAGCAGTGCGTACGCCGGACCATAGAAAGGTATAAAGTTTCTGGTTTTGTTTTTGTTCCAAGTAAAACAGAAAAAGTTTCTGGTCTTCGTTCTGTGAACTGGTTCAAAGCCTTGGCTTTAACTGTATGTATAAATGAATAAATAGAATAGTAATTTGTTTGATGGTGTTCAGGCTTAGGTCCAGTGTTGGGCAAATCATTTGGAACAACAACAAAACTGTAAGTGTTTTGAACTGCTCTCACTTGTGCCCTCAGCAATACACCTACCAAAGTCAGAGTCTGTCAGCAGTTTGAGAGAGATGTGAGGAACACACGGAGACACACAGAGACAGACATTCCTTGGATTTATAGATATAGAATAAAGATTCCATATTCTTTTATTTACCCATGCAAACTTCACCACAAAACAAAGTGACAAACAATTTGAGCAGAAATAAACAGTGAAATAATGTAGACAGAAAATGATTTGAAATTCTTCATCTTTACAAAGTAAAGTAGAATCTTCAGGAAGCTAATTCCAAGTGTCCCACTACCATTTATCTTTAGACATGTCATGTGATGTGTCTGTGATGATCTGTTTACAGTCTTGAGCCTGATGCAAATATCACCTCAAACTAATAAAACTCAGCTGTTGATCATCACCATCAATTAACGTGTAAATATTTTCCTTCTTCCCTTCCTACATTTAAATATATCACCATCAACAACATTGCAGAAGGACTCATTCTTACCATGGGGAATTTGCACCAGTATATCAGCTGGTTGCTGCAGGTTTCCTGCATCTCTCAGTAAACTCACTAATTAAAATGTGCCTTATATGAATCACTAAAGCACACAGGACACACTCCTTTTTGTCAGTATTAACTAATCTCAGATTGATCTTCATTCATAGATATATTTGTAATTTCTTCTGGTTTGCCTTCATATCCCATGAGGCTCTGTATGCGCTCTGACATTATAATCAGCATTAGAAAAAATGCGAATTCACATAAAAAAGAACTTTCTAGCAATGTCTGAGAAGGACCAACACATTAGTAATAGTCATCATCTGAATGAGTATCTCTGGTGTCAGCAAGTTGGAATAATTTCTCCCTGTTCTTTCTCATATCCAACATCAGGCTCTGGATGCCCTCTGAATGCAGCAACTGATCTCCGGTGATCTGCCCCAGTGCTGATGTCATCTCTTCCATCACCTTCATGACTGGCTCTAGCAGGATCAGACGTCGGGTCTGCAGCTCCGCCGCACTCCCCACCCCACTCAGCCTCCCCAGTTGACGGACAGCTTGTCTAGTTTTAGCCTGGATATCAGCAACGACCTCCCGCTTCTTGGACAAGTCCTGCAGTGAGGCCTCTGTCTGACGAATCCTATCGTCTGTAGTTTGAATGTTGGCCTGAGTTTGACTAATTTTGGAGCCATACTCAGATACATTTCTAGAGAACATTTCCTCCTGAGATTCAAATTCACGTACTTCACTCCTAGCAGACTCCATCAAGTCAGAGGCCTGATCCATGTCTACCTGGCCAACTCCAATCAAGACTGACCCTGCAAAGAATATTGATAATTAAAGTTTTCATAATACCAGCAGTGCTAAAAATACAATGATCACTTGATTGTTTAAATTAATTCAAAGATAGAGTAAATATTTTCTTACCAGCAATCCATCCAATGATTGGGATCGCCATGAGACCAATCCCAACATCCCTCTTTGTCTGGGCCTCATCTCTCCTCCGACTCATGTCGTCATAGGCCTCTTCTGCCTTCTTTACACGACATCTCGCTTCTCTCAGTTTTTCCTGATTCGTCTCTAAAGACTCCTGATGTGACTTCAGCTCTATTCTATATTTCTGTAACTCCCCCTCTCTCTTCTGTTTCTCCTCGGCTAAACAACTCTGCTCTGCAGTGAGACGCTCAGTGTCCCCATCCAGCTTTAGAAGCTCCTGTTTGGCCACCTGCTCTGATCTTTCTAACTTCTGCTTCATGCTTTCAATCTCTCTCCTGATCTCATCAAAGGTCTGGCATCCAGGAAGGATGATGTCTGCATTCACGCTGAGGAGTAAGTCTGTGACGGTGTTGAAGGATTGAAGCCCACTCTTCAAGGGACCAATCACAGCTTGGGCCAGTTTTCTCAACTCCGGGTGCTGCAGCACTACAGAGCTGTGGGTTTACAGAGGAACAGATTAAAGTTAACCTTAGGGCAGACACCAGATTAATTGATGTGGTGACAGTAGTTTTCAAACTAATTAGCTTTTATTGTTATCCTGTATTTGATTCTTACTTTGCTGGGCCGTGTTTGGTGCACCACTGTCCAGTTCTCCAAGCCTTCATGACTCCACAGTCACAGAACCAACCAGGTGTGAGAGCAAAACCTATCTGTGGTAGACATTATATGATACTTATAACTTAAAGGCAAAATTGCAGTTCAACAAGTCTTCTTGTAAAATGTGTTTTTGAACCCTAAATAAAGGTAACAAGAAGACTTTACTTTATACTGGTGATGTTTGTGTATGCCACTCTGGAGGCAGTCATGACACAGCAAATATTGTGAGCCTCTGGCACAGTCCCTGCAGAGCAACAACCACACATCTTAATGATGTCATAGAAATCACAGGTGTTTAATTGTGTGTTACGAGAGTTTGCATGGACATGAGCATGAAGTGTGAGCTTCTCACCTGCATCTGTAGACAGTTTCTCCAACATTGAACACATATCCACATAGCTGTGAGCCATGGACCTGTACAGTGGAATACGCCATCTTGGACTTAGGGAAAGAAACTCCATATTAAGTAAGCTCATGTTGCAATGTCATGAACTCAAACCTCACATGAATGGCAAAAGTCTACTCAAACATGACACAATCATGGATGACAAGTTTATGTTTTAAAGGGAATCTATGTGGGCAGTTAAACTGAGAGTGAAACTTAAGATTGGCTGCCCCCATAGGTTCACTTTAGCTGCCTTTCTGATATTCAGTCAATGTTGTGCCAAATGTTCTCGTTAGTTTTCCTACTGACAGCACTCGGTAACCTCGATCAACAGGGCTATGGGTTAAAAACCACCGCAGCTCTCCTTTAACAGTTTTCTATATTTTGAGACAGAGATCGTAATTTTGTCAAAAGATAATTAAATGACATGACATAATGCTATTTTACATAATTTAGCCTATTTACCAATTACAAATAATGTACAAAAATCAAGAGAGAGTCATTTAGATGAGCATTATTTTGTTAGTCCGTCCTGTTAAGTTTCACTTTCTCTGAGACGATTCTCTGAAATCATGTGATCACAGCAGCCAATCAGCAGCAGAGAGTGTAAACACTCAGCAGCAGTGTGTGAACTAAAACCTCTTGTAACACTAGTTGGGGTGAGACATGTTCGCCAATAATACACAAATAATATGTGCATGTATTGCTGGTCAATAATGTGTTTATTTAGCATCATTACAAATGTGTATATGTATTCAACAATTTCTTATCTTTCTGAAAATTGAATTTATGGTTACACTTTATATTAAGGTACTGTAATAAGTGTTAATTAATGCTTAATAAGCACCAATGAACCAGTTAATGAGCACTTATAAGATGTTTATTACCATTAATGAGACTATATTGGTGTTAATTATAGCACAATTGGCACAGTTATTATTGCATTTAGGAGCATTATAAGCACTTAATAGAAACTTAACAGTTTATAAAGCTACCCTAAATATTAATTAATAAGATGTCTATTTACATTAATTATTATTTATAAGGGTTATTTATAGAACAATAAATGGTAAATGGACCTGCATTTGTATAGCGCCTTTCTAGTCATCTAGTGACCACTCAAAGCGCTTCTTACACTACGAGTCACGTTCACTCATTCACACACATTCATACACTGGTGGTTGACCATACAAGGTGCCACCTGCTACTCAGTTTTAACACACAATAACCACATTTATTACTGGTTTATAGGACACTATAAGACCCTATCAAACAGTGTCGTATAAATGTTGATAAATTAGTAATATGCTCTCAGGGCTCGAAACTAACGGTGTCCTGACGTCCTGGGGACGACAAAAATTGCTACTGGGACACAAAGATGATGTGTGTGGGAAAATTCTGGGACAGCAAAAAGCAATATCGAAATGGTTATTTACAACGTCATTACATATGGGTATCTGAACGTCGCTTTTGTCACTTGAATAATTTCAATAAAACTTATGAACAGCAAAAATACAGTGGCTTTTGCTGCACCTGATCTGGCTCCACTCGTGCGTGTTTCCCCCCATTGAACTCAACTCACTGCATGACGGTCACGCTGGGTGCCACTTGCCAGCTGTGCTCGCCACTCCACATCAGAGCACTGGACCTAGCAATGCTGAGATGGTTGAAACAACTGATACTAGCCCCTCCAGTTCCGCTCCAGTTGGAGCAGGATGTGACACTTGGCTTTGGGACTCTGAAGACGATGTTTCATCTGTTTCTGCCCCTGTGGTGAGTTAGTTTGTTAAAGTAGGCTATAGGCTAACGTTAGCTTGTTGATTTTTTTTAGCTAGTTCTAGTTCTTTGCGATAGCTAACACTAGCAACTCAGCTAATCATGTACATGATGGCCTTATAAAGTTATAACATGTGACTGTGTGTTCTAAATTTTGATGTTTATGATAATGACAGTAATGTTACAGTTCATCAGAAGAGGTACTGGTTCATTCAGTCAGTAATAATTAGGCTAGCAACTTTAGCTACAGAGATGAAGGTCACGCTTGAACTAGCAGCCAGTCATGTTTCTAAGTTTCCTACAGGTAAGCTGAGTATAATGAACAGACACATAGCAGTAGTATGTGTTAGCAGAACCTTAGTGTGTAACTGTGACACTCAGAGACATTGACTTTGACAGCGATTAAGAGTGTGTGTGTGTGTGTGTGTGTGTGTGTGTGTGTGTCGCGGCTACTGGAGGGTGTTAATAAGTGCATATTAATAGTTTATTAACCTTTATACGACGCTGTTCCCACTTTAGATCCGGTGGCTGCAAAGACGCATTATGAGCTGTTAATAAGTGCATATTAATAGTTTATTAACCTTTATACGACGCTGTTCCCACTTTAGATCCGGTGGCTGCTGACTTGATTGGTTTTAAAGTACATTCTGTTGCATGTGTCCAAGTTGAGAAATTGAGAAATAATTTATGTGTGAAAATATCATGGCATGCATATAGACTTTAGCTGTCTTGGTGGTAAGGAAAGGTCTTATGTGATGGAAATTTGACAGGTTGAATTTAATGATATTTGTGATTTTTTTTAAACGTGATTTAAATGATAAATTTGTGTCAAAGACCACTCCAAGATATTTAAACTCTTCTGCAATCTCCATTGACCACTACAGATGGTTGGTCACCCTCTGCTGACTGATGGGAGAAAAACATGCATACAGTCTTTTTAGTGTTGAGGTGCAAACAAGATTCATTAAGCCAGAGAAATACAGGTACCAAAGCTGCTGATTTTGCATGGACATATAAAACTGTATCATCGGCATATAATTGCAAATTAACAATTGGACAAACTTTAGCTAAGTCATTAACATAAAGACTGAACAGAATCGGACCCAAAATGGAACCTTGGGGTACCCCAGCTAAACAGCTGAGGGAAGGTGACTCTGAGTTTCCAATCTGAACAGTTTGTTTTCTACCTGATAGACATGATTTCATCCAGCAGAGTGTGCCATCAGAGAAATTGAAAAGGAACAGTTTTGAAAGAAGTACGTTAAGGTTTAGTGAGTCGAAAGCTCTTTTTAGGTCCAAAAAAACAGCCCCTACGTAGCCACCCTGATGAAAATAACAAATGCTGTGTCGGTTGAGTGGTGTTTACTAAATCCAAACTGCATTGGATGGAGTGGGTTGTGCCCACTGTTAAGATGGTCTGTTAACTGCAATGCAACTCATTTCTCAGCCACTTTTGACATGACTGGTAAGATACTTATCGGCCGATAGTTCTCCAGTTTGGTCTTATCACCAGCCTTTAGAACTGGAGTAACCTTGGCAATCTACACTGTTTTATGGACAGATTTATTAAGTGTGCATTTGGGTGTGCAAGAGCCTCTCTGTGATGTTTTATAAAGTTACTGTCCAGACCAAAGGCATCTCTAGCCTTAGAACTTTTCAGAGATGAAATGATTTTTAAAACCTCAGGAACAGTTATTTCCCTTAAACTAAAAATTGGCTTTCTGTCATCTAGAGGGTTACGTGGAGTGTCTGGACATTTGAAATTCATTGTCAATTTCTTAATTGAATGTATGAAAAAATTGTTGAAACTAGCAATAATATCTAAGTCATTTATCAAAGTGCCATTCACCTGGAGCTGCATGTCATTGGATGTTGTGTTTTTATTTCTTCCTGTTAGCTTATTTAATTGTTCCCATATCAATTTTCCATTGCCATTTGCCCCATCTGTCATTTCAATGAAAGAAATCTGCTTTTGTTTTGCGAATCTGTTTTACAACTTTGTTTCTAAGTGATGTAAAATTTGTTGGTCACAAATGAGCCCTGTTTTTAGAGATTTTTTTAGTGCATTATCTCTTTCTTTCATCAATTTGTGAACATCATCCTTCATCCAAGGTAGTGTCTTTTTATGCTTTTTGAATTCCACTTTTTTTGTGAAGCGATCCAGAACTTGAATAAAACATTTAGAGAAAGTGCTACAGCTGTCCTCAACTTCATTATTTGTTAGTAGATTAGACCAATCATACTCTTGCAAAGCATTCTTCAAATTTTGTTGTTCACTTTTAGGTATTATATGATGGCTGCTAACTCTAATGGGGCTAGTAGGACGTTTCCAGTTGATTTTTCTTGAGCATAAAATGAAATTATGGTCAGAGAGCCCAGACAAAAGATTTAAAGTTTTGCTAATCCTATCAGATTTATTTGTGAATATTAAATCAATTGCTGTTTTAGATATATTGGTTATTCTTGTTGGACCTTGAATAACTTGAGAAAGGTTGTGGTTATCTGTTAGTTGCATCAGTTTTTTCTGTCAGATTTATCGTCCCAATTAATATTAAAATCACCTAAAAGAATAGTTTCCCTTTTAAAGTCGCAGCATTTTAGACTAGTTTTAAGTTTATCATAAAATGTATTTTTAGAGGAAGGAGGTTGGTACAGACATATCAAAGTAAAAGACATTTCAGGGGAAATAGTTATGTTGAGACCAATACATTCAATATCTATTTCTGCTGGACATTCAATTAATTTACACTTTAGACAGTCCTTTACATAAACCAATAATCCACCCCCTCGTCCTATTCCCCTGTCTCTTCTAAACACACTGTATCCTGAAATATTGATGGCAGCTGTTGGTGATGAATGAGTTAACCAGCTTTCACATATGCCCAATGTTGAGTCAGTTAATAGGTGTTCAGTTTGTTCGGTTTTGCCTACTATACTACGAATGTGAATATGGACAAGTACAAGTCCTTTTGGCTTAGACGTGAGTCCCACATGAGTTTAGCATTATTAAGAGTCTGAAAAAAGTGCATTTTGCGTTGTTTCCTTATCGCCGGATTCAGAGATTTCAGTCTGACTGTTGAAGTGGAGTGTTTGTTCCCAGTTAATGTTGTAATAGGTGAAGATGTGATTGAGTTACACTCACGGGTGCTGGACACAAATCCCAGGACCACACTGCCAACGAAGTGCTGCGAAGCGCTGCGCACTGAAATTCTCGCGCGAGCCCGTTCACATCAGACGCGCATTTCTCCACGCCGGTCGACAAGCGCTTCTGCTCCCAGCTGTTGTCTCCGTCACACTTGGGGCTGTTTTTCCATCATGGGTAACTCTCTCTGTTTGCGTCTGTGTGTCCCAACTCTCTCTCTCTCTCTCTCTCTCTCTCTCTCTCTCTCTCTCTCTCTCTCTCGTGTGTGCGTGTGTGTGCGTGTTTGTGTGTGTGTTTGTGTGTGTTTGTGGGTGTGAGTGCGTGTGAGTGTGAGTGTGTGTGTGTGTGTGTTCATCTCTCTCGCTCTGTTTAGATACCACTGACTAGTTCTGTATCTCCAGCCAAAAGTAGGACTGTTAACAGCCACAGAATGTCTTTTGACTGAGTGCTTGGCGGTGTACTCCGGTGTGGTTTGGCGTGGCTATTGTCGAGCAGTGTGTTGAAGATACAAAGTTGGCTCACCGTTTGGGCAAGGTGTATTTTGCCGTCATGTCAGGTAGTGTAGCAGCAGCAGACAGAGAGCAGGAATACAGCCACGGAGAAACAAACAGTAGAATGCAATTGTTTGCTTACAGTGATCCAGTTGCAACAGATTCTTATTGTTCTTTTTGCTGCCCTGATCAGGTAGGGGATTGACATGACTGACGGCATGTTTTTTGCGTAAAAGTTTTGCAGCCGCTGCCATCTTGCCTTGCCTTAATATGGGATTTATATTAACTTCTTATAGTCTCATTAATGTTAATAAACACCTTATTAATTTCATGTTATAGGGTCTTATAGTGTTTTATAAACCAGTTATAAATGTGTTATTATTCTTTAATTAACCCATATAAATTATAATTAATGTAAATAGACATCTTATTAATATTTAGTATAGGTGTATAAACTGTTACCAAAGTTTCTAGTAAGTGCTTATAATGCTCATATAAGCAATAATAACTCATGCTGTGATAAACACTTACTCTAGTCTTATTAATGTTAATAAGCATCGTTTAAGTGCTCATTAACTGTTAATTAA